GAAGCTTTAGTTACTCTTCATAGCAAAGTAAAAGAGGCTCAGAAAATTGGTCAACGTGTTGTTTGTTCCTTGATGCTAGATGAGATGGCTATTAGAAAAAAAATTAAATGGACAGGTTATAAATTTTCTGGTTTTATTGATTTTGGTGCTGATGTTAATAATGATAGTTTACCCGAAGCAAAAGAAGCCTTAGTTTTTATGGTTAACTGTGTTAATGGACATTGGAAGCTTCCTGTTGCATATTTTTTAATTGATGGTTTAGGTGGTTTTGAAAAAGCTAATATTGTTTACAGTTTATTTATGAAAGTGGTGCAGAAATTATATCGCTTACATTTGATGGAACGGCTTCAAATATTAGTATGGCAAATTTTTTAGGATCCAATATTTCTATTGAAAACATGAAGACTTGGTTTCCTCATCCTATATCAAATCGTCCAATACACATTTTACCTGATCCTCCACACATGTTAAAGCTCATACGAAATGCAAGTAGACCAGCAATTTATGATACTAATGGGAATCCTATAGAGTGGTCATACTTGCAGAAATTAGTAGATATACAGAATAGTGAAGGTCTGCATATTGCTACAAAAATTAGAAATCGACACATTGACTGGGTACGGGAAAAAATGAAAGTGAAAATTGCAGCTCAGACTTTAAGTTTAAGTGTGGCAAAAGCATTAAAGTATTTAAGACAAACAAACCACCCTTTAAATTTTAAGAATAGTAAACCAACTGAAACTTTTGTTACTAACATTAATGATGCATTTTAAATATTTTAAATAGTCGGAATTTACTAGCAAAAAATTTGAAGTGCGGCATACAAAATTGGAACAAAGAAAAAATATTTTTCTGCATTGATCAAATAATTGAATATCTGAAAAGCCTTAGAGAATTACCAGATGGACAATTTATGTGTACATCAGGAAGAAAAATTGGTTTTCTAGGTATGATAATTAGTCTGAATTCTTTGAAGTCAATTTATGATGAAAATGTTAATAGCAATCAACCGATATTAAAATATGTTTTAGCATATAAATTGTCCCAAGACCATCTTGAAGTTTTTTTTAGTGCTATTCGTAGTTGTGGTGGTCATAATAACAACCCAACAGCTCGCCAATTTGAAAGTGCATATAAACGTCTTTTTATTCATTGTGAAGTGACTGGTTCTCAAAATGCAAATTGCTTAGATCAAACACCAATATCAATTTTAACTGTAAGTAGTAACCAAAAGTCTCAAATTATACCATCGGGAATACAATGTTTAAATGCTAATTTACAGGGTGATATTGATATTTTTGAAAGTCAGTCTCATTTAAATGACCATGCTTATTATAAGCTTCCAGAATTTGAAACGCTATCTTTTTATGTTGTTGATGTTGTAAGCTATATTGCTGGGTTTGTAGTTTGGCAAGTTAAACAAGTTGTAAAATGTAATCCTTGCATTTGTGACACTGAAACAGTATACCTTAAATTCAAAGACTGGCCTTATAAACGCATCAACTGATGTTATTTATTTATGCAAGTTGGCTGAAACAGAATTTAGAATATTAGAGCAAACAGGTAGTTTAAATAAAAGGAACGTAATGGAAATATTAGTGGTCAAATGTTTGCGTAATATGCACAAATCTGTTTTTAGTTGTTTGCATGATCATATGTTTGATGAAGATCCTCAAGGTAATCATATAATATCTTTAGTCAAAATTATTCTTGCTAAATATTTAAAGATACGATTGCACCACAAAGCTGAATCGATCAACGATTTGCGACATAATAAACGTATTCGAAGTGTATTAACAAAGCAAATTTTATTTTCAAATCAATAAGAAGTTATTTTGTATATTAATGTATTAACTGTAACGTTTTCTATTTTAAGAAATCTAAGAATGCATTAAAAGTTGATACAAATATAAGTTTAATATTATTTAAAAAAAAAATATTACATTTAGAAACAAAATAAAGTTTTAAGAAAACGTTTAATGTAAAATTTTTTATAATAAGTTTAATATTATTTAAAAAAGTTTTTAAATAATATTAAACTTATTATAAAAAAATTACATTAAACGTTTTCTTAAAACTTTATTTTGTTTCTATCGCGTTTTGTTTTGCCCAAACGTGACGTCACGCGCTAAAAGATGTTGGCTTCAAAATATTAAACTTACGGCGTGTCTGTCAGTTTATATGGTTGAAGAAGTTTATCGATAAAATGCTTAATTTTGTTTGAAGCTTGTTTTAACATGGAAGTATAAAACAGATGGAAGTTCTTCGAGCCGCAAACATCAAAGCAATTTCAAGTCGTCTCGGGAGTATGCTTGTAACCGACAATTAAAAAAAAACAAGTTTCACTGGATAAAAAAACAACAAAATTCACTGAAATGATCTTTATTAAAACATTAAAAAATGAATTATTCTAGGGATATGTTGCAAATTTTTAACCATTAGTATTTGCAATTATTCAACAAAAGGTTTATTAAAACTCGGTAATTAAATAGAACCACTTGATTTTAAAAGCATGTGTTAGTTTAAGCTTCTTTTCTTGCTTCAAGTCATAACACGACGTTTGATAAAAAAGACAACTAAAACAATTTTTAAAAAATCAAAAAAATTATTTTTTAAGTAACTAAAGTTTAAAGTTTTATTAGCTGTATATGATAACTCCATTCATTCTTGTAGTACTCCATTCATTTAATATAAAGTTTATAAAAAAGTTGTTGTTTGCCGTTACGTTGCGCCATTTTTAATGTTTTTCTTGAATATTATTGGCGAACCTTCAAAATACTATATTTTTAAATTATTATAAACGTATCTATTTGCGTCAACGTTTAAAATTTAAGCGTTTAAGTACAGTCTTGATGTCGTTTTCTTATTGTTTACAAAACAAAAGGTTACAAGCATAGTCCCGAAGAATTTCAATGCGGTTGAACTTCCATCTGTTTTATACTTCCATGGTTTTAACAAGTTCAAATTGATATTCCCGACAACGTTAATATGCTTCCGTTCTTTATTGACTTTAGTTAAAAATGTGTTTAAGTGAGTCTTAAATTTTTTTAAGTTACCAGATGGCTTTCTATAAATAGCATTAACAATTATATTTTTTGTGGTTTTATTATAAAGTTCAATGCGCAATGACTCACAATCTGTTTCATTAACGCATACGCATTACGAGGGAAAAAATTAATTGAATTGTGGACAAAAATACTAACGATAACTATCACGTGGTTGATGAATTGATGTGTAATTAAATCAAACTGTGTACTTTGTTTATTGCATTTACACCACGTTTCTGTTAGACAAATAATGCTAAAATCATGTTATATTTCGTCCAATAGAATTTTTAAATTTTCAAAGTTTTTATTTAGACTTCGGATGCTAATATTTAAAATTGAAAATGCGTTTTTATTATTTTTAAGATATTGTGCAGATTGGTAAACTGAGTTTGCTTTCAAAATTCAATTTGTCAAAACAGTCTGTTTCAGTGTCATTATCATTATTATTTTCATTAGAAAATTGAAATATAGAGTTTTGCTTCATTTTTATGCATGGTTTTAAATAAAATTTCGAAACATAAATAAAAAATAAAATTACTTATTTAGCTTTTAGATTAAACTCTCCTCACTATTAACTTATCGTACTCAATAAAAGCATATTTTCCAGCGTTACGCTCAATCTTCATCTTTTCACTTAATTCGCGTCTTATTTTGTTAGTTTCAAATGAAAAATCTTCATTAATAAAAATACCTGTACCTTTCAGCATCTTTGCGTTTTCCAAAATTTTTTCTTTGTCTTTATAATTTAACAGTTTGAGTATGATTGTTCTGGGTTTATTCTTTATTTTCTCTGGGTTAAAGCGTCTTTCGATACGGTCCGCTCGTTCAATAGTAATGTTACTTATTTTTAACTGATCATTAAATATTTGTTGAACTTTTTTTTCAGTTTGATCCCATGTTTCTTTTTCATTTTCTCGTACACCGTCAATTCTGATATTGTTTCTTCTATTCCTATCTTCTAGTTTTCTAATTTTTTCTTGTAGTGCATCATTTAATTTGCTTGCTTCGATCTGCGTTGTTTTTAGCTGTACGGTCTGATTTACAACTTTAGTAATTTCCGTATTCATTAACTTTTTAAGTTCTTTTTCGACGTGTACGAGTTTTTCATTAATTAAGGTATCTTGAGTAAACTCAATACTTTTTTGTAGATCGTCAATACATTTCTGCAAGCTTTGTTGTTTTTTTTCAACTTTTGAAATACGATTTGTTATATTTTCTATTGAATGTAAAATTTTATCCATTTTTCGTTTTGTATTGAGGCGTTTCCTGATACTATTTTTAAAAGCGAACTTTCTTGCGCTTTGAACTTTTCCTCCATTATAATTTCAATTTCTTTTTTACTTGCCATTTAATAGATTATGCGTTAAGTATTTTCAGATAATTCCCAGCAAACAAAAAGATATCTAAAATGCATCTAATATGCATCTAAAAACTGATCTAAAAGATGTCTAAATTCAGGTCTAGAACGGGACATAAATAGACGTCTATCTTATAGACGTCTTTTAGATGCATTTTATTCGACACAAATAATTGCCTTAGATGCATAAAAGATGTGAAATATACATCTTACAGATGCATATTAGATGTATAAAATACGTCTCTTAAATAGATGTCTAAGGCGCGTTTAAAAAAGATAGATAATAGATAATTTTTTAGTTAATAATAGCTCTTTTATGCATCTAATATACATCTTTAAATGTATATTTCAGATCTTTTATGCATCTAAGGCATTTATTTGAGTTGAATAAAATGCATCTAAAAGACATCTATAAGATAGACATCTATTTATGTCCCGTTCACGACGTGAATTGAGACGTCTTTTAGACCAGTTTTTAGATGCATATTAGATGCATTTTAGATATCTCTTTCTTTGCTGGGACTTGTTTGATACAAAGGTGTTACAGCGGTTAAATTAGTCATAAAAAAGGATTAAATTAAATAAGTAAAGAAACATTTTAACTAACATTACTTAATTTTTATTTCACAAAAATATACATAAGAAACTATATTTCTGAATTGCCGTCAACATTTTCTTCCACGTCGCCGATATCTAAAATATATACATTAATGACATTTAAATGACTTTAAAAGACATGTAGAACTCTGAATCTATTTTTATGAAATATTATATATATATATATATATATATATATATATATATATATATATATATATATATATATATATATATATATATATATATATATATATATATATATATATATATATATATACACACACATATACAGTATCGGACAAAACCAGTCCAACCAAATGATGCTAATTTAGTTTCTTTGTATAAAAGTGCTGTATTTTTTCAATTTAGAGAAATAACTATGTAACTGTTTAGAGACAACGTTCTTCAAATTTTATTAATCACAAAGTTCATTATTTGTAAACGAAAATTAATAAATTAATCAAAAGTATTAAAAAAAGTTGATTTCCTTCTGGACAAAACAAGTGCAACTCCACAAAATGTTGACCAAGCTGTATTCATATCAATATTTTGCGGTGAATCCTTTGTTGTCGATCACAGCCTTGCATCTTTAAGGCATAGATTCGATCAGGTGATCAATGAAACTTTGTGGAATCGCTGCCTAGGCCTTTTGGATTTGTTCAAACAGTTGATCCTTATTACAAACACATTCATGATTCACATTCTCGATAGGGTTGAGATCCGGAGATTGAGGCAGCCAATCCATCACTAATAGATGGTTGTCTTGAAACCACTGCTTGACTACTTTTGCAGTGTGTTTGGGATCGTTGTCTTGCTGAAAAACCCTTTTTATTGGTATATTCCATTTAGCATGAGGTAACATAACATCTTTCAGGATATATTTATACATGAAACAGTCCATTATTCCATCGATTCGATGTATTGGACCTAGACCATTAGCAGAAAAGCACCCCCAGACCATTACATTGCCTCCACCTTGCTTCACAGTATATATATGTTTGCTGCAAAATGGCACTTGTCAATGAAATTCTGCCTGTGTGCTGTCACCTGTCAGCTGATTGCTCATTTCATGGCATGCTATGACTCCAGACTCCTGAACTGTTTGCTGTGGTAGTATAGTTCGTTTCATTTTTAAGACATAAAATTAGGAACACTTTTTAGCATTGTTCAATGTTGGTTGCAAATGTTTTGTCCAATACTGTATATACACATATATACATGTATATATATATATATATATATATATATATATATATATATATATATATATATATATATATATATATATATATATATATATATATATATAAACAAGAAGATTTGTATCTCAACCAGATACAATAATAAACAACAATTTTTTTATGAAAAAACTAAAGGAACTTGTATTATGGATACAAAAATTCTAGCATGACACAAAAAAGTCGAAGAATATCTTTTTAATACAGATATCAGTTTTGTAAATACTATTAAAACTATACCTCGTAAAACACTCCATATATTTACTAGATTTTCTAAGCTTATCTTTTCCCCATTTCCTTTTCGATTTAATTTGGACTGTAACTGATTCGAAAATAACCTGATAAATATTTTAACAATAAACTGAAATATATAAAGATTTTTATTTTAATATATGTAATAAATTAAAATATATTTTAATAAATGAATGCTTAAAATTATGAAAGGTAAAAGCATTAAATTTGAAAATAAAATGCTAAACAAGGTGTAGCATTACACTTACTTTAGCACACAAACAAACTTAAACACCTACAGCGAAGCTCCCGAGTTTATCAAATTGTCATGTTAAAAGTAAATCCATAACAAATAACGGTCAAAAAGAATTGCTTTTGGTCCCTTTTAATCATATTTCTAATAATTAATAAAAACATAATCATTTACCTTTTCATGATCAAAACATGTTTTCTTGGCTTTCCACCATCAATCTTTTTTAAACTATCAAGCTGAAATAAATGTAATAAAAACTAGTGTAACTTAAATTTCTTTACAACATATTGAGTCTAACACAAGCTAGTTATTTTAGTTCATTTACAAATACTTTTTATTTAGATTCTAAACTAATAAACCGAATTTAAACAAACTTATTAAAAATTAATTAGATTATACCAAATTAGTATACTCGGTTTTATCTTTTAGTTTATTATCCAGTGTAACCACTTTGTCCACCGATTCTAGCAACTTCACCCCAGTAGCCTGAAACTTAATTTCTATAACTTCTTTTAAAAGAACTTTTATTTCTGCAAACTCCTTGAGAATAACATTTTGCATCTCTACAAACAAGAATAAAAAGATTGATTAACATATTTAGCTCATAAAACCAAATAGCAAAACAATGAAATAAGAACTTTAAAATTCAAATTATGCTTGGGTAACTTAAACTAAAATTTCAAAAATACATGTAAGTTTTTTTATTACTCCATCGCAGAAGTTGCCATAATATTTTGGAAAACCTACTTTTTAAATCAGCTAAAACTTTATCCTGTAAAAGGCTACGATATTAAAGAATTTTGCTTAACTACTAAAGATAAAATGCTACACACATGATTTATCGGATCACAACATAAATAATCCATTTCTATTCTTTTATACCTATCTTTTACAATTATTTTAATACAAAAACAAATTAATAAAAAAGACCTCCACATTAACATTCAGTGGTGTAAAAACCAAAATTACTCACATTAAAACTTAAAACTCTTTGACAATGTGAACTTTGCTTGGTGTTCATCAATAAAATGTGAAGAAAAATTATCTTCTTCAATCTTTGAATCTGATAACAACTCTATTCAAAAGAAATAATTATAATTAGAACTATAAATAATCCCTCAACCATACCTGTTATTTAATTTAATCTTTTAACTAATTTTGTACTCTTTCAATTTCTGAATTCAAACAACTTCAGCATGCTTTCAATCAATTTTCAATTTTCATATCAAGTTGATTAAAGGATTATTTAATACAATAGAATGTTGTCAATGATATAAATATATGTAACCAATTTAACAACATTACATATAATAGGACACCCAAATAGTTAAAATTAAAGGAAAATCTTAGTAATACATAAAAAAGACTAATAGCTAGATAGATATTATTCAGATCAAATTAAACAAGAATCTATTTCAGTTTATAAACCATTAAGAAAAAATTATGATATTTATGTTATACTTTTAGCATTGGGCTTATTCATAATAGGTGGCGGAGGTTCTGGCAATGAAGAGCGGTATGATTTGTTATTCTTATTTTCAATGCTTTCTTTAACAATATCTCATCTGATGTAGAAAGTTGTATTCTTCACAACATGAAAATAAATCTAATTATAAAACATTTTGCTACAAAAAAGTAATTAAGTTACCTTTAAAAAAAATACAAAACAAGTTAGATACTGACTATCTGTTATCTTACACTTTATCAATGGAAATTTGTGCCATTTTTTTTGTTGACAAAAGGTTGTTTTTCAGTGCATGATTATAGTTTTTTTTTGGGACAATAAATTTGTTGGTATTCTTTGTCAATCCACTTGTTTAGTGCATAATTACTTGGTTAGAAAAACATGCAGAAAAACTTTCCTTTAAAGTTGGGTTATGCTTATACTCATTAGGCTTTTGGCCATAAGAGTATTCATTGTACAAAATCGATGACTCATGATGGTCAAAATATTCTTTTGGATTTTCGCTAGATAAGAAATCATTTCTTTTAGAAGTTCTAACATTCGATTTTTTTTCTATATGTACTGATGAAAATTCTAGTATTTTTTAATATTCTATTTGGATACGTCTACTGCGTCTCTTTTCGTATGCCCTTTTTGTAAAAGACATAAATGAATCTTGGTTTCTTGATAAAAACGATAAGTGCACAACCAATAAAACAATCTTTTGTGTTATTGAAAAACACTCATATTTAATATGAGTGTTTTTCAATAACACAAAAGATTGTTTTACGATAAGTGCACAACCAATAAAACAATCTTTTGTGTTATTAAAAAACACTCATAATATGATATTATGAGTGTTTTTTAATAACACAAAAGATTGTTTTATTGGTTGTACACTTATCGTTTTTATCGAGAAACCAAGATTCATATATGAGTCATATATATATATATATATATATATATATATATATATATATATATATATATATATATATATATATATATATATATATATATATATATATACATATATTTTAATTACATTATCTTTTGTTCTAGAAATAAAAATATCAACTTGAAAATATTAATTTTGTAATATTTCTGCAAAATAAATTTCAAATCACAAGGATTTTAGCAAACATGCTAAGCATCAAATCATCGAAATATTTTGTGAACTATAATAGCATGTTATTTTATTGTTTAAAATTTATCAAAAGAAATATTCAATAATGTTTCCCATAGGTTAAAATCTTCATGCTTTTTTCGTAATAAGTTTAAGCATGGTTTTTAAATGGCGGTCATTTATAATTGTTGCTCCGTAAAATTAGTTGATATTTTTTACTTTGTTTTTATAACAAATCTATATAAGACATCTTATAGACATCTAAGTTTAGATGAAAAAAAAATTATCTATGCACGATCTATTTTATGCATCTAATATGCATCTAAAACAGCAAAAATAGTATCTCTAGAATCAGACGTCTTTTTGATCTCTTATATACGTCTAAAATATACGTATCGGCAATAGATACAAATTAGACCAATTTTAGACGGTCTAAAAGACGTCTATAGTTTGCTGGGTTACTATGTACTAATTAATTATCAGTGAATTTCTTCTTTTTTTATTTATAGATTTATATAAATATTTATATATTTTTCAGATAATTACTATTTTCTTCTTCTTACTATTTTCTTCTTCTTCTTACTTCTTATATATGTATGATATTTATATCACAAATGCAACTTACGCATGATACTAAAGTTGTTTTTATATTCCGGTGTATGGATTTAAATTTTGCGCGTTATACTCCCTAAAACGTTATAGACAGTTATTTCCATCTGATACTCACCGATATCGATATAGGATTCATAATCTTAACGAAGATCTAATCAACAACTACAAAAAGATCAGAAACACAGAGTACTTTAAAAAGGACTTTAAAAATCTTTTACGTGAACAGTAAAACACATTAGGTAACGAGGGGTTACATTGAAAGGTTCGTTCACGTTAGGTTAAACGTTCACAATTTTATGTAAAAGTTGTGTATTAAAAATTTGTAAAATGTAGTTCTTTGTGATTTTATAATAAAAACCTAATTTTTAAAGCAAACAGCAAGTATGCAATTACGATGTTATCATCGAAGTTATTTTAGTAGTTAAGAAGTAATAGAATAAAAAAATTACATCTTTTAATAATGATCTTGTTAAAACAATCTTTTTATAGTTAATTTTATCTAAATACACTAAGGTAATTTGGTTAATTGTAGCCTAGTTTTGAAAGCAAACTGTTTGTTATGAAAGTTAATAATAAAATTAAAATTAATATAATTAAATTGAGACAGTTTGTATCACGTTAGGATGATTAAATTAATATCAAACCGGATTTTATTTTATTTATTAACATAACGTTATTAACATAACATAACAATTTATTAACATAACAAAATTAATATAATAAAAGAAGGCAAAAAAAAGCGGCATGTCGGAGAAAACAAAAAAATATATTAAAGTTGAAACAAAATGAGCAAAGAATTTAGACTCTGAATGGTAAGAATACTAACTGAAATATAAAGTATAAAACTTGACTAAAATATCCAATCCATAAATCTTTTTTAAAAAGCTCTCTCTATGTGTTAATTTTATTGCTGACGTTTACTTAAAAACAGGAAGTATTTTTAAAAAATCTGTTATTATATCTTTGTATTTGTAATATTCATTTATTTATGTTTGATTTGAACAATAATTTGCAAGCACATAAATGATTCATTTTATACAAAAATCACTTTACAGAATCGTCTATTAAATCCTTACTAAAAATCTTTGACTGGCAGCCATTTTTTAATACTTTTTTGCTAATGACGGAATATTTTGAAAACGCATGGCTCGCTGATTTTGGCGGTTTCTTTGATGTAAAACAAAAGGTTGCACGTCGTCCATGCTAATATTGACACGCGTTATATTAAAATTTTTTTTTTTTTTTTTGTTAATTTTTTAGGTGCCCCAAGAAGTCCTTGTGGTCTTATGCGGAAGAGCATTTAATAGGAAGTTCACGCCTCCTTCCCAACCGATGTCGCAAAACTTGCCCAGAGGTAGGGTTTGATCCGGGGATCTTACGTTTCTGAGGCAAGTGCGCTACCACTGCGCCACGGCTGCTCATGTTTTTGTTCAGCCACCAGTTGACTATTGTTTTAATTATTTTATCCGAAGCGACAGTAATTTGTTGAATTAACAAATTTTAATCCACATAATTGTGAAAAATAAATAACGACACAATACGGCAAACACAAATTATACTTATTCCCAATTTTTTTAATGTTAAAAAACTTTAGTTATAGGTGAGTTAAAACATACTATAATATGATTTTTAATGCATTTTTATGATGTTATTTTTCAATGCTAAGCATTTAAAATGATTAAGTAGTATTTTTTGTTTAAAACGCGTATTTCAGTTTTAGGGTAACATGGACGGGATTGTCAAAGTTACCCAATAGATTTGTCAAAGTTAACTTATAATGTGTGACTATTGTCATTGCGCTTTAAGTGTAAATAAATAAATGATTGATTTTTTTTTTTTAGTTTCTTGATTACATGATATCATGTCTCGCAACTACATAAAAAAAACCAAGTTCAACATAAGGATTGAGTGATAGGAAAGCCATAAAAAGCCATAAAAAATCCATTAAAAATCCATTAAAAATCCATTAAAAATCCATTAAAAATCCATTAAAAATCCATTAAAAATCCATTAAAAATCCATTAAAAATCCATTAAAAATCCATTAAAAAAGCCATAAAAAATCCATTAATGATGTGAGTGGAACCAATATCAGCATAAGTAAAGCGACATTCATGTGCAATATCAATAGAACAACATTAATTAATCATCTCATGAAGGTGCGTTGTAAACAAGTTTGACGCCGAAAAACTTGACAAGAAAAGAAGAATCGTTGATTATTCATATAATGTAGAAACTTGGAGACATGGGCATTGGACAGATCGTTGCAATGTTGCGAGTAATTGTGCATGATAACACAAACAGTAGTGGTAGAGCAGTAGTGGTAGAGCCAATACCTTTAAGAATGGCAAGCGTGGAATTGATTAGATGCGCGGTTTTGAGGAGAGATGAAAAAACAAACTTACCTGACGGATTGAACAATCTCTTTCTGCTAACCATGCGTTCGCATGCAATGTTAACGTAATTGAGGACTTTTTTTTGAAAAACTACCAGTTTTTATTGAGAAAATTTATCCACAGAATAAGTTACAAAAAAGATTCAATGCAGGTTAAACAGAATTTCAAACCGACATAGGCAAGCAGAAAATTCTTTGCAAACGCAGATTAAAGAATCCAAATAAAACGGTTGGTGCTGCAGCTAAAACAATGTTCACAGCGCAGGTATGCTGTTCTGCAACCGGTCAATTTTTATCATCATACATTGTTTATAGAGGTACTCACTTTTACAGCACCTGGTGCAGTGGTGGTCCGGACAATGCCTGTTACAACTGTTCTCTGTCAGGTTGGATGGATTCCCCCAATTCATTGAATGGTTTAAAAAGATATTTATCGCCAAAACAAACCAATTAGAAGGATCTTCTAATATTTGACGGACACAACTCTCATATATTAAAAACAGTTGTAGACTTAGCTATTGCAAACAACATTGAGTTACTTTGTTTACCTGCCCATAGTATTATTTTACAGCTGTTAGATGTAGGTGTTTTCAAGACAGTCAATGCTTCTTGTTTGAAAACCTTTTATGATACAATATTATACAAAAAAGTAGATAAAGCAACTTTTCCACAATTGCTGAAATTGGTTACAGACAATGTCTGAAACCAATTTCACTCAACAAATACCCGACAGGTAAGTTTGCTTTTTCATCTCTCCTCAAAACCACGCATCTAATCAATTCCACGCTTGCCATTATTAAAGGTATTGGCTCTATCACTACTGCTCTACCACTACTGTTTGTGTAATCATGCACAATTGGTGGGGCATTCAGTCAAAGCAATGCTACAATAGCTTTTGAAATTGTGGAATTTTTCCACTAAAACAAAGACGAATAACCAGTGAGAAATTGTCACCGACAGAGCCTCTGACATTGGGTGTAATTATTAGAGCAAGTGAAAATCGCAAAAAAAAAAAATAGGCACCGGCAATTAATAACATGAATAGTATAAACTCCGTATCAATCTCCAGTCACAAGCTCAGATGAAATACAGGAAGTTCTGAATCCAAGAAAAAAGTTAGAAGCGATAATTTTGAAAAATCTTCGACATACGCAACCTTTGAAAAGCGATGAAGAAAGAAAAATAATCAAGAGGACATTAGCGGAATGTCTGACATCTAATGAATTTCGTGCAAGATTAAATGAGTAGGAATTAACCAAAAAAACTTTTTTTTATATATTCAAGTAGACTATATCAGAACTGAAACTATTCGATATCTTTTAATTAACAAGTTTTTGTAATGTTTTTAGCGCTATTTTACTTTTTTTTTAAATGGTAATTTTTAAAAAGAAAACTGTACTAGTTTATATTTCAAATATAAACTAGTACAGTTTTCTTTTTGGTACTAGTTTATATTTCAAATGTTTTCTATTGCTAATTTATATTTCAAATATTTTACTTGTCAAAATTCCAATTATTATGTTACCCTTATAAGGTGTTTTTAACATTTAAAGCATAAAACATTCTACTGTTAAAGTTACCCCAGATAGAGGATAACATTGACAG